AGGGTAGAAGTTGGAAGAGCCTCGAGGAAATTTAGTTATCTTTAAGTGACCGTTTGAGGTATGTTCAATCACTTTTCTTTGAAAATAGAGACCAAAGATCAATAAATCCAATATAATCTTGGTTTGATTATTGAGAATTAGAGTTAGTGTCGATAGCATGCATTGGCTTTATTGATGATTTAGTGCATCAACATTCTGAGCGATGACAAACGATGTAGTTGGTGGACGTTAACTTTTTTGTTGATGTAGTGCATTAACATTATAGATGAAGACGTGTGTTGAAAGTGTGCATCAGCCATATAGGAGATATCGTGCATCCATGGCGTGTATAGGTCTCATAGGAAATTGCTCGTGTCTACAATATTGGCCACAACTGGCAATGTAATTGACGAGCATCAACATTGGTGTCAATAACGTGCATCATCTTTATAAGTGATGGTGCACGTCGATGATGTTGGCTTCAAAGTTGACAGGAGATAATAATTAAGCCACGTTTGTTGGGCAACGATGGTCAATATAACATAGTCGGGCAGGAGTGGTTGGACAACGAAGGTTAGTAAGCAACAATCAGACAAGGTGGTTAGGAGATTATAATGGTGCGATGGTGGTTAGGAGACCATAGTCAGGCTACAATAGTTGGGAGACTTTAGTCGAGAGATGGTGGTTAAGAGATTGTGGTAGGTGATAGTGTTTGGGAGATTGTAGTTTAGTGATAGTGGTTGTTTGATGGTGGTCAGTTAATGGTGTTTAGGAGATCATAGTTTAGCGATGGTGGTCTGGAGATGACGAACATGTAATTATTGTTAGGCATTATCGGTGGTTGGCAGTGATTGTTGACGTCAAATGTTGGGTGGAGCTTTAGAGTTTTTTCATATTTCTGGCTCTCTAAAATTTGAGTTCACCCCTCTTCATGTGAAAAATGTGTATCTATTTATAATTTTCTCAAATACATTTAGGTAATTTTAACGAAAATATTTAAACAACTTAATTAGATGGCTCATATTGATTCCCTTTATCATAAACTATTTTCTTCGTATTTAAATATATTAATGATTTTAAAATTGAGTGATATTAGACTCGTTAGATTCCTCCATCGAGACACTCGATTTGACTATAAGCATACAAGATTTGAATATTGTTTAGCCTATAAATTAATGTCTCAAAGTTTTCAAGTTTACTTCATATGCTTGATTTGGACTTGTTTGGATTTGAATTGAATTACTTTTGGCATCATTAGATGCTCTTATTGGGAACTTCATTTGGACTATAAGTTTATTGAAATCAGAGTTCAGATGCTCCTGAATTTAATTAAATTTCTAATTCAAAAATTGTATCGAGTTTATCTTTGATCGAATGAATTTTTTTGATGATGTATCATTTACCCAATTATTTTCAGACATTATAGTCATTGAGGTAAATATATATATATATATATATATATATATATATATATATATAATTAAAAAAGAGAGATATGCAAACTTAATTGTATGTCACATCATGATAATTTTTGTAATCATTATTCTTAATAATATATTTGATCACATCATGGTAAGTCTTCATGCATAGAAATTGATTGTAACTCACATATTTACATTTTAAACTCTTTTTCTCTAATATTTAATACTCTTCCTAATGGAGATTGAGTGTGACTCCCATCTTAAATTTTATAACTTCAACCATCTATTTATTATGATTTATAATGAAAGATTAAATGTAACCCTTATCTTCAAGTTTTGTAGCTCTCTTCCCTAATACGTGCAACTCTTATTCATTCCTTTAAGTTTAAATATCCCCCAATATTGGAGGGGACAATACTTGCACCTAATCCCTTCTTTGTTGGATATAGTTTTTTGTCTCTTAAAAGCGACATGGTGCATAATTCATTCCCCCTTCGTAGGCTCCATTACTCATACATATGGAGGCTTGATATTATCTCAAATAGGTAGTGTGTTTCCCCCTTGTAGTCTCTCATGCTTTTCTATTGAGATTATAGAACTGTCCTTGTATGTGTGGAGTTATGAATGACATTTGAGATTTATAATTTATTTGTCGGGGCACCAATCTTTTTCTTGAATAGGGTTTGAGTGTTCCCGTTTGGACTGATTGGGATCCAAGTGAGAATTTCTTACTCCATTTTGAGGCTTTGATTTTCTCCTCTTGTGAAGTCGATTGCCCTCAAAATTGTGTGTGGCACATACAAGAGATGATGATTGATGCGATGATGTGTTGTTGATGAGATGATAACGAAGTCCCCAAAAACACCGAAATTTTTTTAATATTGCTGATTTTTATAGCAAATTTCTTGTTTATTTATGTACTCAGAATTTTGGTCCTTTTTTTGTTAGATTATCATGTGCATTTATATGTTTATCCATAAGTTTTTTGTTGCAAAATTCTATCATTTTGATTTTGAGTGATTTTTTAATTACAAATATCTTGATGATGAATTTTTAAAATTTTAAATTTATTTGTCAATGTTGATAACATCTTGGGCCATCTCTATGATTTTTTTTTTTTCATATAAAATATGATTGTTTGATATGATTAGCAAATTTCATAAGCAATAATTTTGTTAAATCTATCATTTTGTTGTTTGTTAATTTCAAAAGTTTACTTTGACTTGTATATTTGTCAAAATGATTAGTTGAAACTTTTTGGAGATGCTCCCATTGATGTGTAGATACTAATTTTTTTTTTCTTGAAGTATTTTTTAATATGGAGCTTGATTCTCAACTTGATGATAAGTGTTAGCATTGATGATGGGAGCGCACACTTGAAGTCGAAAAAGGAGTGAGAAGATTTGAAGGCTGTAGAGAAACTATGGTGACAACGATGAAGAATGTGCGGTCACTATATATTTAGTAATTATGTATGTGATTTTAAAATAATATTTCTTATTTGTTTAGCCTCTAAATGTACATTTCTTTACATATTAATTAATATATGAGCTTGATTGATGTTTATAAAAGTTAATGATGATTATTGATGTAATCTCGATCCTCGTATAAGAATGATTTATAGCATCATATCTTTGCATTAATAATACCTACGGTTTCGTTTGAAATAATTTTCTTATTGTTTTCTAAAGCGGTTTTTTTAATTCAAATTTTTTGAACTAAAAATTTTTTTATTAGGGAGCTGCTATAGAAAACAGTGAAAAATCATTTCAAATGAAGCCTATGTATCTTTGGAGATTTATGCCGTCTAGATTTTTAAATAAACAGAGAAATCTGAAAATCAGTATATAAAATATTGGAAAACTTTTTATATCAAATTTGGGCACAGAAAAGACATTGATATGCCATCATTATTTTGTAAAAATAATATTCTTTATGAGAGCAATTCAATGTTGCAGATGTCTTAGGAATTAGTATCCTTTTAAGGGCACAATAACTTTGGCAAGTCTATATGTAGGGGTGTAAATTGTATAAAATTTGGGCATTTCAAGGTGATATATCATATATGACATATAGATATATTTATATTCCAAGCCTGAAAAAAATAATAATAAAATTACCTTTTTTATAGTAGTTGTCGATGGCTATTTCATCATTCTAAAAAATAAGAATTCTCCTATTAATTGTTTTTTGAATGTTTTAATAAATGATTAAATTTTATTATAAAAGAAATACTATATTGTAAATTGGATAAAAATAGTTTAGCTAAGGTTGAGATTTATTTAAAAACATTATCAACAATGTATTTTAATGATAAATTATTTTCAATTGCTTAAATTTTAAAAAATAGAAGTTTTCATAATATTTTAATTTGATATTCATAAAATTTTGAAAATGTGATATATTCAACGAAATAAATCTCATTAAAAATATTTCCCTTTTGTTTTTAAACACATGCCTTTGTAATACTCATTCAATTAGCATTTTAATCAAGTTCTCACTCAATTGTTTAAAGATAATTGACATTGATTATAGTGCTATACATTTTTCATGGCCATTTATTTTTATATATAATATCCCACTCTTCTTAAATGTTCAGGTCCCTAGGCCCACTTCTTCAATCTCATCTCTTTACAAAGACAACCAAATTTATTCGGTGATGAGAGCTTTTAAGTTCAAATATAAAGAATATTCTAAAGAGGGATGTTCAAACAATACTCATATTTGAAAATTCATATGAATATTTCGAAGTTTATGAATCATATTGTAATATCTCAAATTTTTATTTTGGAACAGGGGTATCTAGTTGCTGTCATTCTAATGGGAGCGCTTGGCGACATAATTAATCTATCGGTGGAACCTAGCGAGACCACTCACAAGTATCGAGCCCACACTTGCTTTGCCCCACTAAGAGGTCAGGCACTCATGCCATAGTAGAGGGAACTTTTATTACGTCCGGTGTAAGGACGTAGAGGAACGTCCGGTTAGAGGCAAAATTCCGCCAAAAAACTCGGTATTTGCTTGGTACAACTATGTATTATTTGATATTAACGAGAAATACCGCTCTTTGAAGACCAATACCGAGTTATACCGAGAAATACCGAGTTGTACCGAGTTTTTCTAGGAAAAACTCGGTACAACTTTTGTATAACTCGGTATTTCTCGATTTAGCTCGGTATAACTCGGTATTGGGTCTTCAAATGATGGTATTACTCGTTATTGTTTGGTATTGCTCGGTACAACTCGTTTTTTGGTGGGATTTGTCCTTCGATCGGATGTTGGCCTCTGATCGGACGTTCCTCTGCGTTCGGTCGGATGACGTAATAATTGTTCTAGTAGAGGGGATTCAAATCATGGATGGGGGGTATAATTTAATCCCAAATAAACTAGAGGTGAACATCAAATGTTTACTCTATTATAAACAGGTATACTATTTAATGCCATGAATTGGGCGTTTGGTCTAGTGGTATGATTCTCGCTTTGGGTGCGAGAGGTCGCGAGTTCGATTCTCGCAACGCCCCCTCACTTTTTTTCAAGTTTTGCCATTTTTACTCTTTTCAGTATTTTCGTTACCAAAATGCACACTCACCGGGAAGACGCATATAGCAGAGCAATCAAAACAGCGAGAATCCCACGCTTGCGGCTTGCCCATCGCATCGTTATATAATCACTGACCACCCTCATCGGCCTCGCCTCAGCTAGCGGTCTCTTTCTGTTGTATATCTCCCACCTTCTCCGCTTCCGCGCCTCCCACACACCCTCATATCGTTTCCAAACCCCTTCCAATTCGGCAATTCCTATCCTCTTCTCTTTTCTTCCCCACCGAAAAACCCTATTTTGCCGATCCCAAATGCTCCATCTTTCCGCTTCTTGATCGCCGCCACCACGGCGAGGCCAAGCCCATTCTTGTATGGAAACGCGGAGCCGGAAGCGGGCCGAGGCCTCCTCTTCTAATTCGTCGGCTACCCGCTCAACAAAACGCCCCCACACCTCTTCCGACCCCCCTGTCGCTACCCGCACTCGCCAGTCCTCTATGGACTCCGACCAAGCCTCTGGCCGCCGCGACCGCCGTAGCTCCGGTAGAGAGAGGGACCCGCCCGAGGGTTCTTCTCGCGAAGCCGAGAGGATCTTAGGACTTAGCTTCGATAGCGCTGGTGCTGATGATGACAACGACAGCGAAACCGGCGTTGGAGTCGGGATTCTTCACCAGAACTTTACCAACGCGAGTAGTGCCCTTCAGGGACTTTTGCGGAAACTGGGTGCGGGTTTGGATGATCTATTGCCGTCTTCGGGCGTGTCGGGTTCGTCCTCGTCTAACCAGAGTAGTCGACTCAAGAAAATTCTTGCTGGGTTGAGGGCTGATGGTGAGGAGGGGCGGCAGGTCGAAGCGCTGACGCAGCTGTGCGAGTTGTTGTCGATTGGGACGGAGGATTCTTTAGGATCCTTTTCAGTGGACTCGTTTGTGCCCGTTTTAGTTGGGTTGTTGAATCATGAGAGTAATCCTGATGTGATGATACTTGCTGCGAGGGCGCTTACTCATTTATGTGATGTTTTGCCGTCGTCCTGCGCTGCTGTAGTGCATTATGGTGCTGTTCCGTGTTTCTGTGCTCGGTTGCTTACGATTGAGTACATGGACTTGGCGGAGCAGGTATCTTTCATCATTTTGTTTTGTGAATTATTGCGATCAGGTTTAAATTTCAGACTGTATTAGTTTAAGAGAACCTCTTCTTGCGTGATAACTCATTGCTTTTGTTATTTATTGGGTCGTAGTTTTGAGTTGGAAAACGATATGAGTTCATAATTTTTGCATGTTTTTCATTAGATTATGATGCTTGATTTTATCTATAAGTATGTCCGAGTTTTTTACTTGTCTGGGTGCTTCCTACTTTATTGTCTCTTTTGTAAAAAGTAGAGAGGAGAAAGAGTGTTGACCATTAATCCCTTTTTAGCTAACATGTTCTTGGTTTTTAGACCTTAATACACAATTTTCCTGCAAAAAGATGCAAATTTGATACCAATACTTGAACCAAATCAGTTCACATTAATCACTGCGGGATCTCATGACATTTAAGGGAAGTTTTTTTTCTTAGAGAAGAGTCACTACCAAACAAAAGAATGCTATCGCTAGATGATACAAAGCTAATCCTTTGAATTTTGAGTGTGCAGTCAATTTTGATTTGAGAACAACTGCTAGTAGCCAAAAGTCATTAGAATTAGTCTCATGAACCAATGCTTTACACAGTTTCACAAAAAAATTACCATTGATCCAGTGGTCCCAATATAAGGAGAATGAGCAATTTCTGTTTACTACAAGAGAAGAGACATCCAATTCTTATACTTATTAGCGATGAATTGTAAGGCTTTCCATTGAGGAGAGGTAGATCTATGAGTGGGAGCCCATAGAGAGTCATAGAAATTGGAGAACCAATTTGCAAGGAAGAAGTTAGAACCATAGATCCTGCCAATCATTTTGGCCTTGTAGATGATGTTTATAGTATCTAGGGACTAGATATCCATGCTGCCTTTTTCATTAGGAGTAGTACTATGCCAAGAGATAGTACACATTTTGTTTCCGGAGTTATTGTGAAACAGGAATTTAGCAATTAATGAGTTAATCTTTTTCATAACACCTTTTGGGAGAACAACTGACCTAGACCAATAGAGGAGATCATTCTAAATTTTGGATTTGACAAATTGATACCTGCTAGCAAAAGATAAGAGCTTATGTTTCCATCCACAAAGCCAAATAATAATTTTGTTCATGATGGGAGCACTTTTCATAATATTCAGTCTTGAGGGAGAGATGGTAATTCCAAAGTATTTTCATGGGAGGCTAGAGTAGTTGATCCCAAAAATAGATGAGATGTGTGCTTTAAGATTGGGATTGGCAGCATGGCATACTTATTGGTGTTGGTGCTCATATTCAATATAGCAACAAAGGAGTCCAGATTAGTCTTGAGACATTGGATGTTAGTAGAGTTAGTTTTAGGCATTTCTTCTTTATCCATAAAGTTTTTCTCTTCCTCTCTCTCTCTTTATACACACACACACTTGTTGTGTATGTGCATTTGAGTTCATTTGCATGATTCTTATTTGAATATGAGTGTATTTATATGTAGAGCTAGACTAACTGTATTCTTAATTTGATAGGATTTTTTAAACACACAAGTAAGCTTGAGTTCTTTTCAAGCATATTGGATAGAAAACCAAGAAATTCCAATTCATATCAAACTTCAAATATAGGATAAGTCATTTAAACAATCTTCCCAAATTAGTAAGAGTCGTGTCCATACATGTAGGTTCAACTTTGGTTGTCAACGCAATAAAATAACCAGGGCCATGTTATTTAGAAAGTAAGTGAATATTATGTTTTCTTGTGTAACACTTAACATGAAGTGATGGAGATTGAAGATTTATAATGCTAACGTCAAATAATTGGGATGATGATGATGATGATGAGTACAGTTTGTTAGGATTATTCTCTTGAGTAAACCAACCTGAAGCAGTCTGCTTCTCCCCATTCTTGATGTTCTTTTAGAATGGAACTATGGAAGAACCATTGTCAAATGATTTCTAGTTTATAGCATGCCCCGTTGTGAGTTCACCATTGCTGCGGTTTCCAAGATAATGAAGGATACCTCACCTTTAAAGGTACCATGCAGTGTAGTGTTGTAATGTTGACCACACATTCATAATAGCATTTCAACTTCAAGAACGAGGAAAGTTCCCTTGCTCCTTTTAATGATGATTAAATGGCTGCATGGCAGAAGGAATAAATGCCACAAATGTTATGATTCCTTGTAATAATATTGAGGGAAGTTTCCTTCTTTTATAGCCAAATTAGTTTAAATGCTTATTTGAATAATTTTTTGTTTTTTCTTTTAAGTGTTTGCAATTTTTTATATTCAGTCTCTTCAAGCTCTTAAAAAAATTTCACAAGAGCACCCGACGGCTTGTTTGAGGGCTGGGGCACTTATGGCTGTTCTCTCTTATCTTGATTTTTTCTCCACAGGAGTCCAGGTAATTGACTGCGTTTTTATTGCTCTTCTTTCAACATTCATAATCTTTTATATCTAAACTCTATTTAGAATCAACCATATGTTTTGTTTTATTAATTATCTTTACTTATTAATGGCACTCAACTTAGAGGGTAGCATTATCTACTGCTGCAAATATGTGCAAGAAACTTCCATCCGATGCAGCTGATTTTGTAATGGAAGCTGTTCCATTGTTAACAAATCTTCTTCACTATCATGATGCGAAGGTATTGATTTTATTGAATTCTTATGTTGTAGGTTTGGAGCAGGTTGTACATCTCTTTGTTGGTTTAATGTTTTATATCATAACTTTTATTAAATTAATATTTAATGTAATTATAGGTGCTTGAATATGCCTCTGTTTGCCTGACACGAATAGCTGAGGCATTTGCCTCATATCCTGATAAATTAGATGAGCTTTGCAATCATGGGTTGGTTGCTCAAACCGCTGGGCTTATTTCGTTGAGTAACTCCGGAGGGCAGGCTTCTCTCAGCACATCAACATACACGGTCTGAGTTCATAACTCGGTTGAATGATTTAAGTGATTTATTGCATACTTCTGTGTTTTCCTAATTCATCATTTTACTTATTTCAGGGTTTGATTCGCCTTCTTTCAACATGCGCTAGTGGATCACCTTTAGCTGCGAAAACTCTGTTGCTCCTTGGTATCAGTGGAATCCTTAAAGACATCTTATCAGGTTCTAGTCTTGTTGCTAGTGTGTCAGTTTTTCCTGCCTTATCAAGGCCGCCAGAACAGGTATTGATTTCATCTCCTTGCCCTAATGTTTGTCTTGGCAACTGAAGAGTTTCTTTAGTTAGATGAAAGGAAAAACCTTTTGCAAGGCTATAAGGTGAATCATGGGTAAGTTTGAACATACAAGATTTTATAATTAGACAAGCAATAAAAATAAATAATTTCTCTTGAAGTGGTGGAACATGTATGGTAATAAATTGTTCATATCTTGTGATAGTTTGCTATTAAATCCTATAGTTGAATCAAGAAACAATGTGGGGGAAGATGGTTAGTTATACTAATATCATTATTTTAGAAGTTTTAGGAGAATTCTAGGAATTCATCATATAAAAGGAGGCTTAGTTGTGAATTGAGGTAGAGAATGTTATTAAGGCAAACAAATATGTTTTTAAAGTACCAAATAAAATAATTACTAATGCAGCTTACATTGATTATCAGGTGGAAGTTTTGCAATTTGGCCTTAAGAAAAGCAAAAGTTGCATCTTTTGATTATTTATATAGAAGGCTAGTGAATAAAGAAGATGAAATTCACAACAAGTTATCAACTTGCATTCTTAATGATTTGATAGTAGCGTATGCAAATTCAGGTGTTTGCTAGTTTAGTTTTTTAAGGAGAAGAAAGTTATCTTTGAAGATGATCTACTAGGAACAAAATTATGATACATATTATAGATTGATTAATGAAAAAAAGGATATTTAAGTTATCTTTGAAGTTGATCTATAAAGATATAGATTTATGTTAAAATGAGTTGCCTGTTGTGATTTTTGATGGTTATTAAAATAAGACTTTGATTAATTAATGTTTTAAATAAAATCTAGATATTAAGAGGATGCCAAATGTTTGAAGAACAAATAGTTAATATTAATTAAGAGGATGTTGTGATTTATGGGTAAGTTTGCACATACAACATGTCATAGTAATTATTGATATTTATTTTAAAATTAGACAAGCAATAAAAATAAATAATTTCTCTTGAAGTGGTGGAACATGTATGGTAATAAATTGTTCATATTTTGTGATAGTTTGCTATTAAATCCTATAGTTGAATCAAGAAACAATGTGGGGGAAGATGGTTAGTTATACTAATATCATTATTTTAGAAGTTTTAGGAGAATTCTAGGAATTCATCATATAAAAGGAGGCTTAGTTGTGAATTGAGGTAGAGAATGTTATTAAGGCAAACAAATATGTTTTTAAAGTACCAAATAAAATAATTACTAATGCAGCTTACATTGATTATCAGGTGGAAGTTTTGCAATTTGGCCTTAAGAAAAGCAAAAGTTGCATCTTTTGATTATTTATATAGAAGGCTAGTGAATAAAGAAGATGAAATATTCAACAAATTATCAACTTACATTCTCAATGATTTTATAGTAGCGTATGCAAATTCAGGTGTTTGCTAGTTTATTTTTTTAGGGTGAGAGGGAGTTATCTTTGAAGATGATCTATAAGGAACAAAATGATGATATATTATAGATTGATTAATGAAAAAAAGGAAATTTAAGTTATCTTTGAACGTGATCTATAAAGATAAAGATTTAGGTTCAAATGAGTTGCCTGTTGTGATTTTGATGGTTATGGAAATATGCTTTGTTTGATTAATTTTTTCAATGAAACCTAGATATTAAGAGGATGTCAAATGTTTGAAGAAGAAATATTTTAATACTAATTTTTAAGAACAAGCAAGTTGGATCAAGAATTAATAATTAATGTGGAAGAATTGATTTATTTATATGATAGGGTAGGTTTGATTTTTTTGCTTAGGAAACTAATTGAGCAATTTAAAAAACAAAGGGATGATGAATGATGTTCATATCATAGTTGGATCAAGAATTAATATTAGCTTCATATGTTTATATTGGTTAAGTAGATTCCTACAAAATATATTTAAATTATATTACCTTGTTGTATATGCTATCTCTAAGTGATAGATTTATCATAGATGACACATCTGGTGAAATTATTGAGAAGTTAGAATAAGGATTAATTTAATATATAAATGACTTAGTATTACCAAGATTTCAGTATCTCATATATGATTTTAGTAGGTATTATATTGATAATCTTTAATCAATTAAGTGGTACTTTGATTTGATGTATTATATATTATTATTTGTTTATTTATTATATAGACCTTAGATTTTATTAATTTATATAATAGATTAGATACTAAGAAGGGAGAAAGATATATGTATAAGTTAGCCAAACGAAGAGATAGGAGCAATAAGGATTTAGTTCAAGTGAAGTGTATTAAGGATGAAGATAAAAAAATATTTTTCTTAGAAAATGATATTCAACAAAGGTGGATGAGATATTTTGCTAAACTTTTTAATGAAGAATGTGAAAATACGATTGAATGTAGTGACCTTAGCACCCTAAATGAAAATAAAGATTTATGTTTTTATCGGCGTATTAATAATATCGAAGTTAAAGAGGCTTTAAAGAAAATGAAGTGTGGAAAAGCTGTTGGACCTGATGATATTCCAATAGAGGTGTGGAAATGCTTAGGAGATGAAGAAATTTCTTGGCTTACTAAACTTTTTAATACTATTTTGAAGACTAAAAAGATGCCAAATGAGTGGAGAATGAGTGCGTTAATTCCTATTTTTAAGAAGAAGTGAACACAAAGATGTGCGAATTATAGAGAATTAAGTTAATGTGTCATACTTTAAAACTATGGAGCGAGTTATGGAGCATAGGTTGCGACATGATACTAATGTTTCTCAAAATCAATTTGGATTCATGTCGGGTAGGTCAACTATGGAAGCCATACATTTATTAAGAGGTTTGATGGAGAAATATAGAGAAAATAAAGAGGATATACATATGATATTTATTAATTTAGAAAAAGTATATGATAAAGTTCCAAGAGAAGTGCTATGGAAGAGTTCTTGAAAAGAAAGGTATAATAACGCTTATATTCAAATCATTAAAAGATATGTTATGCAGGAGCTATTACTTGTGTTCAAACACAATGTGGTTGACCAAGTATTTCACTATTTTGGTTGGTTACATCAAGGATCAGCCTTAAGCCCATATCTTTTTTTGCTTTAGTCATGGATATTCTCACTAGACATTTGCAAGAGGATGTACCTTGGTGTATGTTTTTTGCTGATGATATTTCTTCTTGTTGATAAGACTAGAGAGGTGTGAAGGTAAACTTGAATTATGGAGGTCAACTTAGAGTCTAAAGGTTTTCGCTTGAGTAGATTTAAAACGAATATATGGAGTGTAATTTTAGTAGTAATAGACCTAGTGAGGGGATTATGACTTTGGGATCAAGTCATTAATAGAGTACACGTTTTAGATATCTTGGATCTATTGTTAGAGTGATGGTGAAAATAGATGGGATATTATCAGCATAATTCAAGTTGGATGGTTGAAGATGGAGGAATGCATCGGGCTTGTTGTGTGATAAAAAGTATCCCTCAAACTTAAGGAAAATTCTATAAGATGTGGTGAGGCTGCAATTCTTTATGGTGTCGAATGTTGGCCATTAAAAGAGAAGCATAATACTAAGTTAAGTGTGGCAGAGATGAGGATGCTCAGTGGATGAGTGGCTTTACCCTTAGAGATAAGATACGAAATGAGCATATACGTGAAAAGGTTAGAGTAGCTCCAGTAGAAGATAAGATTAGAGAGTCGCCTTTCACATAAACGGCGGCCTTCCAATGACTTGGTTAGGAAAGAGAGGTATTAGATTTGACTTATGTTAAGAAAGGTAGAGACAACCTAAAAGACTTGGTTAGAAAATATTAGAAATGATCTTTCTCTATTAGATTTAAACAAGAATTTGACTTTTAATATGACACAATGGAGAAAAGATTCATGTCGCGACCCCACCACCCGGGGTAAAAGTGGGGAGATTTAAAAAAAAAAAAAGGGGATTTTGTTATTGTTGTTGTTGTTGTATTATATAACATATTGGATTATAAATGAGAATATGTTTTTGGGTTTACAGTTGAGTGATTTAGCGAGTTTTTAATAAGATAATAACATGTAGCTTAAGCATACATGTTAATAGCGTCAAATGGCATGAGCCATAGCGCATGTTGCGATACACTCCTAGCGACATTTGCATGGTGTAGTGCGGGGTCCCAATGTTTAAAATTGCGTATTCGGGTATTGAGGCGTTTTTCATTCGTGATGCGAGGCGTAAGCCTCAAGACGTTTTGAGGCGTAAGCCTCAAAATCAAAAGATTGCGTAAACATAAAATGATAAATTTTTTATATACTGATGAGTGAATAATATAAAACATAAAAAAATATAAGATATGAAGTGAAATCAAAATATCCCAATAATAAGACAACATGAAATATAGTTCAACTCAAAACTCTATCTTTCCCAAATCGCAGTATTCTTTTCATTAACATATAATTCAAATTTCCAAAAATAAATAGCAATGACATATCACATAAGAACTCATAAGTCATCAGCACTGTCATCACTAAGGGGTTCTTCATTTGAATCATCATTATGATGAACTGCTGTCTCCCCTTCCTCCTCTCCTATAGAGTCCAATGTCGGGCATTTTACTTCAAGATTTATGTAAGTTTTAACATATATAGTGTGAGGCGTAAGCCTCATGCCAGTGAGGCGAGGCGGGCCTCAAGGGGAGAGAGCAGTTCATAAAAAAACTCGAGGCGTAAGCATCGAGGCGTTTTTTACTGGAATTGCGCAAAGGCGGGCCTCATATTCATATTGCGCAATTTTAAACCATGCGGGATCCTAAAACTATTTGTGCTATTAATGAGCAATGATGCATAGTGCATTGCCCCCATGACGCATGCTAATTGATTAGAGCTTCAAATTAATTTTAATATTATGCATTTTTATTTATTAATTTTATTTATTTTAATTAGGGTTAGGGTTTATTTTTATTTTAGTTTGTGAATAGAACAAGATATGCATGAGGGCTCTCGACCTCCTTCTCTTTGGTGTTATCATGGTTTGGTTAAATATCTTTTCTAATTTATGTGCAAACTTATATGGAAGTTTTTTTGTTCTTATTTTTCTTTTTTTTTAATGAAACAATGGCTATGTAATTTATAGTTTTCTCAAAACTAGGATCAAATATTACATGAACTATTAAGTATCAAATTCTCTAATGATTAGAAGAATAAATAATGCTATATGATGTTTAACATGTGCTTATTAAATTTTCTAATGACTTTTAGGTGGCGGTTCTAAGAAGTTTGCCAAATTTTTGCTTATTTATGTTATCAATTTCGTTTATAGGTTAAGGTGTTGAACGCTTGAACCTAAGCATTACTTTATTTTTTTTACTATCATTATGATTTATATTTCAATCTAGTAGTTTTTATATTTAGCTATATTTTTATTAGTAATTTTTAATATTTTGCATAATGTTTAATATTGTGCGTTCTGTGTAAAGTGTTGTGTGCTATGACTCTATAGAGATTTTTGGCCTATGGTGTACTATTTGCCATTGACAAGTATGGATTTAAAGAAAATTGTGTAAATAATTGGGTCTGTTTGGATGTAGGTTTTGAGTAGGATCTAAGAAGGATTTAGCCTAAATTTCACCAAATAACAAAAATGACAATTTTAAATCCTCCATAATCTTAAACTCTATTCCTTATCCATTTTGATTAAATCAAGATTTAGTGAATCTAGAGTTCGGTTGATTTATAGGATTTAGTCAAAGGAGAAGTGCATGAAAGGGGTAAAAATCATAACCTTCGCAGCGAACTTCCGTCATGACTTCTCATCTATTAGGAACAAAGTCATCGAAGGAGGCAATGAATTTAGTGACTCTTTCAAGCCCTGGACAGGCCTAAAGGCTCTAGGAAGAGCATAGAAAATGACCAAAGAGAAATTATAGAAATAGATGGGCAAAGGAAGAGAAGAATGTTGTTTACGCTGTTTTCGCTCCTATTGGCTTTTATTATTTATGCTATATCTTTATTTTTTTCTTTACAGACTACAATAATATTCAATCATGTGGGTAAAGTGGGAAAGATAACCATTCAAGTGGATAACACGGAAATTCAATTTATCATGTAGAGGTTAGAGGAGAAATAAAATTTTATTGTGTTTCATTAATTTGAAAATTAATTAATTTATAATTAATTATGATATTTATATAATAAGTATGATTTGTTTTTTTCTAATTATTGATAAAATTATTTAAATTAGAATTAATAATATTCAATAATCAAAATTAGAATTAAATAAATTTATATTAACAATTAATATTAATCAATTACAATATTAACAAGCAATTTAGTGTTATTAAAATTTTATTTGAGTCAAGAGACTTAAAACCTAGTGGTAAGCACCCAAATAATTCCTCAAGATTTAACTGTATTTAATCTCTAGAATGCCAAACAGTTTTTAGGATTTAACTGTCTTAGTATTTGATAAATCTGGATTTATAGGATTTACTAAATCCTACGTGTAGCCAAACAATCCCTTAATTGAATTGGATATGCTATGTTGATTGGAATGATAATCAAGTTAAGTGTTGCATGGATTTATGGCAAAACTTGGAAAGGTAATTAAGAAATTTGTATTTCTCAGGGATGATATGAGTAGCATCTATTGCATATAAGATAATGGATTTTTTTTTTGCTCACCCGAGGTGGGGGTTTATTGATGTATATTAATGAAAAATAAACTTAGGTGATATATAATGAAAGGTCAATTAATATGTTAGGTATATGAAATTTGCATGGAAGTAATAGGAATGAAAATGGGTTGACCATTGATAGCATGTTAGGAGAAGCACAATAAGATTTGTGCAAATTAGATTTGACACCTCGTGCAACACTTAACGTTAAATGAATGGAGAATGGGGATTCACAGATTCGACGCCAAATAATCAGGATATGGACCATATGTTAATGATGCTGATAAAATCTTTGTAATTGTAAATTAAATGCACTAATACCTTGGATATGCGACATCCTTGTTAGAATAACTTCATTTATGGTAAGATGCCGAGGAATATATAACATTTTGAATTATTTTCTGATTATTTTCTTTTGCAATGGAGTTCTTTTATGATTCTGATGATGCAATTTACCATCTTTACAGTAGCATTCTTAATTATGAAATGCAATGTAGGAACTGATGCTCTTGATTATGTGATTTACTACTACTTATATGGGCAAGTGGTTTTTACATGTAGCATTTTCCTGATGTAATGCTGTTTGACATTGCTTACTTCTTGCCATTTTAAGCCAGTGAATGCTTCCACTGATGGAGGTATTTAGTTTATGGTATATATTACAAAGTTTTTATGTATATATGTTTAGACTCCCACAATTATAACCTGCTAGTTATCTGTATTGTTGCTTGCATTACAAATATGTCAGTTGTGTAATATTGCATCTAGAGCTGGAAATGATTGGAACATGATGGAAAAAACCAGTTTTAGCTTGTATTGGTGTTCATTTCTATGCAATGCTTCTTTCTTTGTAATTATCAAATTGAAGATTTAAGGTAGAATTTAGAATTATCTCATGGAGCGACTAGCTCAACTTTATCATCACACTAGACAAATGACTTGGAGAGCGAGGAGTTTAATTAGCCATCAAACATTGCATTTGCCCTACAATCATAGATAGGTGAGGTGAAGGTGCATTTTATCACCCTTATAGTGCGAGGGAGAGGCTGGTTAGAGATAGAAAGGAGGCAAGGGGATAGAGGCTTTGTGGTAGGAAAAATTATTACGTGCGGAGTCCGAACATAGAGTTACATTCGGACTCCAATAAAAAAACATGACATGTGTCATTGTACATAGTGTGTATAAATTTATACACACTGTGACGAACGTAGAGTTACATTCAGACTCCAATAAAAAACGTGACATGTGTCCTTGTACATAGTGTGTATAAATTTATACACACTGTGACAATTGTGTGTATATTATATATATAAGTTTATACACACTATGTACATAATTTTATAATTTGTATATAGTGTGCACAGTTGTACACAGTGTGTACAAGAACACATGTCATGTTTTTGTTGGAGTCCTGACATAACCGGACTCCGCACGAAATAATTTCTCTTGTGGTAGAGGTTACTTTAGGTGGAGGGACAGAGGGTGGAGGAGGATGGGTGAGATAGAAGGTAGTTTGTGTTTGGTTGGTTGGGGGGTTATATGCTAGTTTAGAGATGCAATTACTTGCTTTATTAAACACTAACACTTTAGATGCTAGTGTAGAGGTGCAATTGCTTGCTTTTTTGAACGCTGACACTACCGTGCTAGTTAGGTTGGCGCCGCTTATTATAGAACCAAAATGATAAACTACAATGCTATCATTGCAATGGTTGGTGCTGATTATTATATCTTTTGCACCTTGGGGCATTTTAGGCTTCATAAGCATGCTCTTATATTTGTTATATACGTCAGGTTTATGAGATAGTTAATCTCGCGGATGAGCTTCTTCCGCCACTGCCCCAAGGAATTGTTGCCCTCCCGATTTGCTCTAATTTTCTTGTGAAAGGGTCGGCGGGAAAGAGAATTGCTGGTAGTTCTTCAGCGAAACAGGAGGAGGCTAATGGATCAAAGAATGAACAATCTGCTCATGAGAAATTATTGCAAGATCAACCTGAACTCGTTCAGCAATTTGGTTTGGACCTACTGCCTATCTTGACTCAGGTGTGTATTTCTGCAAAGAATTTTGTTTGTCGATATAACTAATTTTGGTTAATGAGATTGATTTCCTATGCTTTTAACATTTTCAAGTCAATCTGCTGTGGTATTTCTTATTTATGAACCAGATATATGGCTCTAGTGTCAACGGTCCAATTCGACATCGATGTCTTTCAGTCATTGGGAAACTAATGTACTTTAGCTCAGCGGAGATGATCCAGTCCTTACTTAGTGCAACAAACATATCAAGGTTTTATTTTTTTTTTTTGGTCTAGTTTTGAATATATACTGTCACTTTGCGGGTGCTGAAGAAGCTGTCTTACTCTTACTCACTGGATGCTCATTTCTGTTTCATCTTGCAGCTTCTTAGCCGGAGTTTTGGCTTGGAAAGACCCACAAGTACTGATCCCTGCTCTTCAGATTGCAGAGATTCTTATGGACAAGCTTCCTAGATTTTTTGCCAAATCGTTTGTGAGAGAAGGGGTTGTCCATGCTGTTGATGCTCTTATCCGTTCAGTTTCTTCAAATACTATTCCTGAGAAGGACACTGATTCTGTGTCTAGCACATCATCTCGTTCTCAACGTTACCGAAGGAGGAATGGTGGACTGAACTCCGATGGTGGTTTGCTGGAGGAGGCAAAAGCTTCAACAGCTGGAACCGGTAGTTCATCACCACTGACAGAGGTTTCTGCTGCAAATAACAGCATTCGGTCAGCTGTGAGTGAGTTTGCCAAGGCTTTCAAAGACAAACACTTTCCTGCTGTTCCTGGGGCTACTGAAATTGGCATTACTGAGGATCTTCTTCGTTTGAGAAGTCTTTCTTCAAAATTGAGTGCTGGTGCTGATGATGTGAAGGCCAGAGCAAAGGGGAAATCTAAAGCCAGTGTATTTGATACTTCAACAAGTACGGAGGGGGAGTTGGATGCTATTATTTCTGAGATGCTAATTGAACTCAGTAAAGGCAATGGTGTATCAACATTTGAGTTCATTGGTAGTGGCGTTGTAGTAGCTTTACTGAATTATTTTTCATGTGGAACATTTGCAAAAGATAGAACCGCTGAGGTTAACCTGCCAAATCTTCGTCAGCAAGCACTTAGGAGGTACAGATCATTCATAGACCTCGCCCTTCCAGTTGGTGTCAAGGAACAAAATGAAGCTCCTATGAATATTTTAGTTCAAAAACTTCAAAATGCTTTATCTTCTTTGGAACGATTTCCTGTTGTACTTAGCCATCCTTCCAGATCTTCCAGTGGGGGAAGTGCTCGCCTTTCCTCGGGTCTAAGTGCATTGTCACAACCTTTCAAGTTGCGCTTATGTAGAGCACAGGGTGAAAAGTCTCTACGTGATTATTCTTCAAATATTGTACTGATTGATCCTCTGGCAAGTTTAGCAGCTGTTGAAGAGTTTCTTTGGCCAAGGATCCAAAGGAGTGACTCTATACAGAAGACTTTAGCATCTGCAGGAACTCCTGATGTGGGTGCTTCGGCAGTGGGAGGCAATGCTTCATCATTAGGTACACCAACTCCTTCAGTTCATCGTCCTACTACTAGATCTAGGTCATCATTAATCATAGGAGGTACAGCGGGAAAGGAATCTTCCGAGGGAAATGCAAACTCTTCAAGAGGAAAGGGTAAAGCTGTTGTGAAACCTACACCTGATGAAGGAAAAGGATCCCAAACAAGAAATGCAGCCTGCAGAAGAGCAGCTTCAGTACAAGACACAGAAACGAAACCTGCACATAGTGACTCTGACTCTGAGGTTCGTTTAATGAATGCCTATCTGCTATTTTAATTCCAAATGAGCTTTTTAAGACAATATATATGGTAACAGTCGTTTGACTTGGGATAGGGGTTCAGCAAAGTAAAAGTACTTCTGATGGATTGATATTTATGTCATTTGCCTTTTAATCTTTTTATTTTTTATAATTATTGTCCCTTCTCTTACACTTTCCCCATTATTGGAGTTTAGCAAACTATGCTGATGAAGAGGATGCTCTTGCATTCTGCATTACATATTGTTTTTTGATATGATATAATTTTTTGGCCATCTGATTACAGTAACATACCATGCTGACTGTCTGGGTCATAGTCGCATACGATGCTCTAATAATAATCCACATACATTATTCTTTGTGTCTACCTTTTACATTTTAGACGAGCAACATTACCTAGTTTTGGTGCTGAGCTTAAATAGGTGGGAGACAGCATGTGATAAAATTCTTGACATCACCTATTTTTTTTTTTCTAATTTTATTGAATCTTATGAGAAAGGGAATTTGTTTAGGTTCTTTAAATTCTAGTCGTTTGTATTCATTGTATTTTATTCTAGGTGATTCACGTTTTTTCCCTATTCTATTTCACAATTGGAGCATTGACAACTTGCATGATAGCACCTATAATTCTCATAATGTTTGTGATAAGTGGGTTAAGGTTTGCCTTCTTTTGTGCCATGGGGACCATATCTTCTTTTGTGCTAGGGGGACCTGATAGGAAATACTCAAATAGAATGTGAACTCTCTTGGCTGGATTTGAATTCCAACAAACCTCAAATAGTAAAAAGAGACAAGATTTAGGTTGAAACTAAAAAAAAATATTTAATTGATGGTAGAAAAAAGAAAACAAGAAAGATACAATGGATCTTTGATTTGAGAGCAAGATCCAGCTCTTTCAAGCCCTAGCTGCCCACTAGAGTCCCTCTTTCTCCATGGGAAAACAAAACTCAGCAAAGTATTTGATAAAACAAACCCTAGGAGACAAACCTACTAAAACATATACAAATTCTCCCCAATTCCAAAAAAGCTCCTCAATTTGAAATTTTCCCTCCTAAACTCTCTTTAATTTCTCATTACTATGGTTGCTGGAACCCACCCCCAAAGGGGGCGGCGAGGTTCTGCCTCTGGTAAACCAAGACCGGTCTAGGATGGACCGGTCCCACATTGTCCGCAAGGTGGAAAGACGAAAACTGATGCTTCACTCTCATATGCATGTGGCGTCATAGTCAGGTAGGTTCTTCCACTTTATTGACACTTGCTTGAGCCCATCCTCTCTATGTCGTATCCCTTTTAGCTCCAGTGGTTACAACATCACCTCTAAATCCTCTGTCAATATCCCTGGTAACTCTGAATTAGTTGCATGATCCTCAATAGTTCTTCTCAACTGTGATACGCAGAACACCGGGTGTATGATAGCGATTGGAGGTAACATTAATCGATAAGCCACTGCTCCAATCCTCTCTACTATCTTATAAGGGCCAAAGCACATCGAGGCAAGTTTTTTATTCTTCTTGTGAGCTATCGTCCTTTGTCTATGGAGGCGTAGCTTCAAGTATATCCTATCTAATATCTCAAACTGAATGTCCTTCCTACACTCATCTGTCTGCTTCTTCATAATCTGTTGAGCCTTCAGCATCAACTCATCCAACACTATGTCCCTCTCATCCAAGTGTTGCTCTACTAAAGAAATTGGTGTGCTACTCTGCCTAAAGTGTACCAAGTGAGGTTTTTCTCTTCCGTACAACACTTTAAAAGTGGTCATTTGGGAAGTTGAATGATACGAGGTGTTGTACCAATATTCTGCCCATGCCAGTCACTTGGCCCACGACCTAAGTGTCTCGGAAGCAAATCATCATACGTATGTCTCCAAGATCCTATTCACCACTTTCGTCTGCCCATATGTCTGGGGGTGATAGGCGATGCTCCTCATCAGCACTCCCCCCTGCAACCTAAATAACTCTCTAAAAATGATTGGGGAACATCTTATCTATGTTGGTCACTATAAACTCTGGTATTCCATGTAGTCTGACCACCTCTCTGATGAATGTCGACGTTATTGTTACTGACGTGTAAGGGTGTCGTAAGAGAATGAAATGATCATACTTGCTTAATTTGTCAAACACCACCAAAATCATTGTAAACCCCTCAGATCAGGGTAATCCATCCATAAAGTCCATGGTGACCTCCTCCCACAGCCTGTCTGATAGAAGCTAGGGGTTGAAGTAACCCCCCAGGAGCCATGGCCATGTACTTGTTCCGCTGGCATACCTCACTTCTAAGCATTATCTCTTCCATATCCTTGTGCATCCCCTTCCAATACATCTTTGCTGCCAATCTCTTGTATGTCTTTTGCATACCAGAATGACCCCCAACCGTGCTCCCATGGAACTCTTGTAGTAGCTGTGGGATATGGACGGAGGTTCGAGGCATCAGAAACCTCCACCGGTATAGTAGTCTCTCTCCCTCTAGAATAGTCAGGGTGACTATTCTCATCCTTAAGCAAGATCTTCTCTAATCCTTCCTAGCTCCTCATCGTGCGTGCTCTCCTCTTTAATAAACCCCCAATCCAGCATCGGCGGTATCGACATAGCTTACTCCTGGAGCTCCCCTATGCATATGAACAAGGCATCAGCCGTTTTGTTCTCCAATCCTGGCTTATAATGGATCTCAAAGTTATAGCCTAACAGCTTTAACAACAACCTCTAATGCTCCTCGATCACCCCTCTTCTCCAATAGGTATTTCAAGCTCCTCTGGTTCGTACTGACAATGAAATGTCAGCCTTACAAGTAAGATCATTACTTCTAAATAACTAACACAATGGCCCTCAGCTCCCTCTCATAGACGGACTTCAGCCTAGCTATGATTGTCAACACCTGGCTGAAGCAATGGGCCTGTGATTCTGCATGAGCACTGCTCCCAATCCATACCCTGATGCATCGATCTCTACCACAAAAATTTGATTAAAATTTGGGAGGGCCAAAACCAATACTGTCGTTATGGCCTTCTTCAATCTTTCAAAGGCCTGAGTAGCTGCCTCTCCCTAAAGGAAGCTCTCTTTCAGTTTCTTTGTCAATGGCCAAGATATGGTGATGTATCCTCTCACAAATCTCCTGTAGTACTCAGTCAATTCTAAGAAGCCCCTCAGCTCTCTCAAATTCTTAGTTAGAGGTCATTTATGCATTGCCTCAATCTTGGCTTGATCTGCAACCACCCCTTCCTGAGATACCACATGCACCAAGTATTCCACACTGGCCTGTGCAAAGCAACACTTCTTTAGATTGGCCTCAGTTGCTACTATTATAATACTTCTAGGATCACCCTCAAGTGCTCCAAATACTCCACCAACCTGCTATACACCAGTATGTCATTAATGAAAACAGTACGAACTTTCGGAGGTATGGTCAGAACCCCATGTTCATGAGGGGATGGAAAGTAGCAGGGATGTTGGTGAGGCCAAACGACATCAATAAGAACTTATAGTGTTCCTCATGTGTCATGAACGTAGTCTTCGGGACATCCTCCTCTCTCATCCCCGACTTCAGATCCATCTTTGTGAACACCACTGCTCTACATAGCTCATCTATCACAAGAATGGGAAACTTGTCAGGTACAATTTCCTTATTCAGGGCCTGGTATTTTACATAGAATCTCAACTCCCATCCTTCTTCTTGACCAGTAAGATCGGGCTAGAAAAAGGACTCGCACTAGGTTTGATGATCCCTACCTCCAACATCTCTCGGATCAACTTTTCATTCCATCCTTTTGAATCTGAGGGCAACTGGCCTGACACTAATCAGTGACATCTCCTCTCTCAAGATGATAGCATGCTCTTACTCCCTTGTTGATGGCAATTCTTGAGGTGGTTGAAAAACCTCACCAAATTCTGCATTGCATGAAAAATGTCTTCCTCTTCCTCCAATATGACCCCCTCTAAGATCTGAAGCTCCACCAAAAATTCTCCTCCCACCTCCTGTAGGATCCTCACCATAGTTTTAAGTGACACCATTGCTTTGGATAACCCTGCATCATTCCTAATCATCATTCTCCTTTGCTCCACTACTAGATCTTTTGTCAGTGCTCCTCAATTAACCTTGGTATCCCTCAAGTTTGTAGCCACTTCATCCATAATATGACATCTGTGCTTTCCAACTCCAATGGAAGGAAGTCCTCCCTCACTTGTACTCTTGTGCTATTAGAACCACTCTACATACTCCTCTGCTCGTCTCCATCTTCCCAGTGTCCATCATCACCCCATAACTCTCTGTGTCCACCAAATTATAAATTGATCAACGATCTGGTTGGAGATGAAATTGTGACTTTCTCCACTGTCTATCAACACCACTATCTCCCTATCTGTTATTTCTCCTTTCACTTTCATGGTGTGATTTAGAATGAATCACACAATGGAATTTAAGGAGACCGCTGTCATGTCAAGATGTAGCTCTTACACCTCTTATATCACTACCTCGCTCCCACCTCCCTTCTCAGCTTACTCGTCCTGATCCTTCCTGCGTCAGAGCAAAGAACTGCTTATAGAAATCCCCTCCCATGCTAGTTTGTAAACGTTCGAACAAGCAGTCCTTGAACTCTCTCCAACTTTGTATAGGTCGCCTCATGTCTCTCCACTAACAAGCCAATGTCTTCCCCTCCAAACATAGGCCAGCTGTCGCCAGCCTCTCTTCCTCCGCCAACACATTGACGACGAAGTACTTCTCCACCTTGTATATCCACCCATGTGCATCATCTCCTTCAAAGATAGACATCTTCAGCTTCCTTACCCTCGGATCACCTCCATTCTCCTGATTCTCCAGAACCTCCCATCCCCCCCCCTCCCCCAAACCCCCACACACACACAGAGTGTCCTGATCCTCCCTTATACACTTATACCCAAATCCTTATTCAAAATTCCCCATTCTTCTTTCAAAATCAATACTACTCCACTCAAAATCAGCACCCCTCCTCTCAAACCCACTATTCATCTCCTCC